GAAGCATTGATGCAGAGGCCAAATATTCCAGGCTGATTGAGCGAGCTATTACGAGCTGCGAGTTTGATGGGTGGTGGATTTTTTGTGTGGTGCGCGGTGTGTACGCGGATTGCTGCAAATCTACTGGTGCGGATGTGGTTTTTGGGTATTTTTCTTCATTGGTTTTATGTTTTATTTTTTATTTTTTTGCGGGCAACGGTAAGTTTAAAAGTCTTGAGCTTGGCGCGTGCATCACGATTTCGCGTGGTCGCGCGGCGGTCGAGTGCACTGTGGGAGGCGCTACAGCTGTATGCTGCTGCGCCGCGCCATTCCGCTGAATGAGTTCAAGCAGATAAATGGGTTATTTTGAAATTGACGCGAATAGTGATGGTATCGTTGGAAGCTGAGCGACTGCACGCAGTGCCTTGGCGCGCAGGCCATTCGTTCATTCATTCAACATCAAACTATTCTAATATGAACATTTATAATTTCGTCAGCAATGGACTTGGCATGGCTTGTCTTTGGTGCTGCGATAAGAATAGAATTATTATGTGCCGTTATTGTTGCCGACACCACCTTCTTTCTGGGAAACTCAAGGCAATTACGTTTGCAATTAGAATGTCAACAAAAATTAGGAATTCAGTTTTTTGTTGGTTAAGTGTTTAATAACTCATTTAGCGCGGATTCGCAAAGATAAAGTAGGGGAATTGAGGTTTGAGTTACTCAAATTAAATGTCAAGATTTAATTTTTTTTTTTGCTTTGTAATCTGGCATTTAGAAAATTCGTCAGAGTTAAAAAGTAAACTGTGAAAATATGCAATTTTTTCACATAATAAATAATCTGACTTGATTTATTTAGCTGCCAGAAAAATTACTCAATAAAAATTAGTTCGTTTGGAAAACTTATAAAAATTAATGTGGAAATAATAGAAATGCATTATCCATGCTTGAGTAAATATACCAACACACATACTAAATATTTACTTGAAACACACGCTTTCATGCTTGCTGTTAATCTAAAGCGCTTAGCATGCGCAAACTTTCGCACAGCTTAAAGTATCTACTCCCTTTTGTTTCAAGGCAAATCGTTTGAGGGTGAGGCAAGATCGCGTGTGTTTTGCTTAAATGGCTTGCGATCGTGCGATTCTAGCATAATGCAAAAACAAAAAACAAAAAAATAGTACACAATTCGCACTAAAACAGGATTTACTGCCGCCACACCTTCAACTCAAAAAAATACCCGTTTAATGCGCTGAAGTAGTAGCATTTATTGATTACCGCAAAATGAGGCAGAATACAAAAAAAAAACACACACACAAACAATGTCGATACTGAAAATTAATCACATCACACAGCGCAAAGCTAATTCAGTACGAAACTGATCGACGCATGCAGAACGAAGCAGACAGATTTTGATGTTAAGCGTATTAGCTTAAAAGAGTGCAGTTTCAACATTTAAATATTTGTACATTTTTTCTACATCTACAATTTTTGCAAAGCGATACAAAAATCATTTCTACTGTACAACAAATTTTTCTCTCAGCATATTGCTTATGTACTATGTATTTGCTCACTCATTCCACCTTGGCTCGGGATCATGGTCACCACATTTGACCACAAATATTGAATGCGAATGGGGCGGCCGCGCGCACTCACCGAATACGAGTACCTACATACATACTCGATTAAAGTTAGTGTACCGTTGACAGTTACACATTTTTAAAATATCACTGACAACGGCTGTACGCAATTATTAATATAAATTCAATTTGCAATAATAACTCAATTAGTTACTTTAGTGCTGACGAACCAGATCACTTGATGGTCGCAGATACACACACTCATACTCAGTCAGTTAGTCAGACGGTGGTCAGTCATCTGTCTATTTGCCAGTATAAAAGAAAAAACCGCACTTATGTAAGTCTTATGCATACGGTGACCATATTTATGAGAGCTGAATACTGGACGAAAAATAATTTTGCAAATTTTTTCCACAACAACTTACGATCTTAAAGCCTTTTTCAATGATCCTAGATGTATTAGCACTGCAACAGTATCTTTTTAACTTTGTTAAAAAAAATCGTTAAATTTGAGTATAACAAAGTGCAATTTTAAGTCGCTAAGGCTTACTATTAATTTTTAGCAATTTTTTTTTTAAATAAACTAAGGCAGAATAGCCAAAACTTACTAAAATGTCGAGTCCTAATTTCAATTTTGGTCACTGTATTTATTCCTCGATTCCAACCACAGGCATTCATATTAGAAAATAATAACTTTTTATGGAGAAAATTACATTCATATACCAACATCACTTAAAACTCGTTGATAGGCATGCCATTTTAATGAGCTGTTAAGCCGTCGAAACACCGAATATGGGACAAACACAGGACATTAAAAGAAATACAGAACATTTGGCGTCGCGTATAAAAGAAATAAATTACCAGGATATTGGGTCAGAAAAGAGGATTGTCCCGTATAATACAGGACGGATGGTCACCGTACTTATGCATGATGTGCGTAAGCGTTTCATTTTTTTCTCTTCACCGGCTAGCAAGTTATTTCAAAGCTTTGCTGTCAGATTTTCACACTTCCATTGCGCAATTACGTATTTAACTACATATGTAGTTGTTAATTGCTGGCGCTTCTTTCTGTCACTCAAAAGGATGCTGGCAATTAAGTAATTGAAGTGGTGCAAAGATAAATGATAATTATAATCGTAATAATGGCAAGATATGCGTTGAAAGATTAGCCAGCAGCTATGGATGAAGAAGGTCAGATGACAGATGTTGTGCGAATTAAGCTGTAACAATTTCACTAGACGGGATGAGTATATTTACATATGTATGTATGTAGATTATAGGCACATATAATTTTTCAAAATGTTTGCAAAATTTTTAATTTAAATTTTTTCCGCTCATCGTACTAAAAAACACGATAAAACATCAATGTGAAAGTTTGTGAGTAAGCAAAAACGGCTTGACGTATTTCAATCAAATTTGATGCACAGATAGGCTATCACCTGGGTTAATATACATCGTATGAATAGAGTTGCCACCTTTAAAAAAAGGTTAAAATCAATTAATTGGTTAAATAAAAAATTACAACAATGTGGATGTTAAACGAAAGGGGTTCATTAATTTAATAAACAAGTCGAATGAAATATATTTATGTAGCTGGGTATCAAGCGAGAAAGCTTTATTTCGAGAATGATTTTTAAGTGGGTTGCCAACTGTTTATTCAAAATAAATGTAATCAACAAATTAAATGAAAGATTTTATATGAAAATCAAATCCACGAGAGGTCTAGAAAAGCTTCATATTGAAGGCATTTTTGAAGAGGCTTGCCACCTGTTTGGAAATTCCAAATCAATTTAAAGAAATAATTTAGTATGGGCTTCAGAAAGGTCTATTTCGGAACTATTTTTGACGTAGGTTGCCACTTGATTAGAAATTCGAAATCAATTTAACTAGTTAAATGAAATACTTTAAAACGGGAAAGAAAGTTTAAGAAAGGTTAATTTCAAAAATAAATTTTTTAGAAATCCAAAATCAATTTTATTAAAAATAAAATATTTCAATATGGCTGTCAACCGAGATAGTTTAACTAAGCTTTACATCTAACACAATTTTGAAGCTTAATTTTTTGAAGGGTGGCACTAGTATAAAAGTTTAATTTTTATTAAATGACAGGTTAAATGAAACACTACAATGCGTGTGTCAAAGGAGATAACGAAAGTTATCTCCGAAATATTTGTGTAGAAGGTTACTAACTGTTTTGAAAGAACATTTTTTCTTAGTAAATTAGTTAACTTTACGCTACATGTTTCCAGCAAATTAGTTTCAAAGCATTTTATAAGAGAGTTGCCACGTTTGCATTATTAATTACCTCAATATTTTCCGTTTATATTAGCGAAACAACTTTTTCGATGAGGAATTCCATGCCGCTGCAGAGAAATAAGATGCCACCTACAACCTGCTCCTACTAACTCAGTGTATTCTCTTCAGGTTTTACAAGCCATGTGCTTACCCAGTCAGAGTTATCTAACAGCATTTCCACCAATTACTTAAACTATCTTCGTCAATTCCTTGACTGGTTGCACATTCGCCAGATATTAAGAAAGAATGTAATTCTATGGAATTTTCTTCATAAAAAAGGGGTAAATATTTTGAAACCAGTTTTGTCACTGCAATGACTATTTAGCAAAAAGCTGCCATGCCTTGAAGATTTGCGCAGCCAGTAACTAAGCGACCAGGTGCATATTGTTTTGATTAGCTACAATGTAAGTAAATACAACTGGATGCACTTAATCGCCACTTGCGCCAAGCTGTGGTAAGCTGTGGTAAGCGAGCAGCGCTGCACAAGAATTACATAGAAGGCAACTAAGGTAGTTTGTTGGCGGCACACTGATGAACCATTCCGGTTGCTTAGCGTTATCTCAATTAAAACGCGCGCGCATCGATGAGGAGCGCAAAAAGGCGAAGGAGTGCGAATAGAATGAACGCACCGAGCGATACAACTAATCATTTGTAGAAAGGTGACTTTGATATAAGGAGAGTTGTTGCCATGTTAGCCACCACCAACACCACCACCACCACCACCTTCAACCAAAACATGACGACAGCGTTGGCAATTTGCCTGCTACGCGTCGGCTTTAGCTTTTCTAGTTAAACACCCAACAACAAACACTTACGTATATTTATATTTTTTGTGCCGCTTTGCTTGGCACTGGCACTTTTAAGGCGGAGATTAGCGGCAATTAGTCGCTTGAAATTGCGCAACTCGATGCGCAATGCCACTCAGGTGAGCTGCAGCAACAGCATGCTTGGCTACCTCGCCTGTTGCATGGCTCAATTTAATGCAATGGCATCAACTTAATTGTGGCAATTATAAAGAAAAAAGGCTATATTTTATAATAGTTTTGTAATGTGACAAGGGAGTTAAGCGAAGAGTGGTGCAGAAAGTGCGTTTTCATGCATATACGTTTGTATGTTAGTAAATTCAAAAAAAAAAAAAACACTTACCAGGTGGGCATTTGCACTCGTACGTTAGACCATTCGATGCACGACATGTGCCGCCATTCTGACAAGGTGATGGCGAACATGGAATGTATTTGGATTCACAATTTTTGCCGGTATAGCCGCCAGGACACATGCATCTGTGGGAGAAGAGAGAAAACACAATATGAAACGTCAGTATCCAGGGAATTTATATATCAAATGGTAGTCAAAAATAATGCAAAAAATGTAAGTAAAATAAAATAAAGTAAAAAATTAAGTCAAGTAAAATAAAATAAAATAAAATAAAATAAAATAAAATAAAATAAAATAAAATAAAATAAAATAAAATAAAATAAAATAAAATAAAATAAAATACAATAAAAAAAATATTCTTAAATTAAATTAAATGAAATTAAATTAAATACAATAAAATAAAATACAATAAAAGAAGTAGATAGAGTAAGCAAAACAAACAAACAAAATAAAATAAAATAATAGATAACCAATACAAATAAAATAAAAAATAAAATAAAAAAATTATAATTATGTAAATTAAATAAAGTAAACAAAAAAAAATTGAATAAGATAGGATAACAAACTTAAATAAAATAATAAAAATAATATAAAGTAAGATAAAACAAAACCACACAAAATCACACCAAATGTAATAAAATATATTAATTAAAAATGTTTTAGGGTTTCGATATGAAAAATAAGTACGTATTTACCCTTATAACTACTTCTACAATATTAAAAACTTATTCAAAACCATCGATGACCTCCACTTAAAATTTAGAACGCAATGTTACATCTAGAAGTTTGGGCGCGAATAACGGGAATTTATTTTAAAAATACTCATTCATACGTCGAAAACTGGGTAAATACACACGTCACGTATACGCCCGGTATTACCACCTTTCTATCAATACTTAAGGCCTAGCCATACACATGCCTAAAAAGACGATAAGTAATGACATAAATTAATTTTTAATTTTTAATAAAAAATATTCGAAGAAATCCGATGTGGCTGAGCAAAAAAAAAATTACATCTTTTATGAGAAGTCGCGCCCTCTTCTGGCGCCGATTGGAAATACCAAGTGAAGCCAAGTCTTTCCAACGCAGAGGTGGCTCCTTCCTCAGATATCTGAAGCGGGCTCCGAGTTGAATAAATTCAGCGCTGGAGCGTCTGTTTCCATTCGAACGAAATGTTGAAGCCAGCGCAGCCGCTATATTTTAACTCGCTGTACTATGTCCATGTCGGTGTAAAGCTCATACAGCTCATCGCATCAACTTTTGCCAATCCCAGCAACCACGCGGCAAAACCTTCCTGGCCGTTAATCCATAGCTTGACCACCGTTTGAGTTAGCTCAACGTGTTACAAACACGGCCGCTATCGCTCGACGTTGACTTAAGTGAGCCCAGTGAAATGGGACGATTTTTTTGCGGTTTGTTTTGCGTTAGATCGTGTGGCACCCATACATTGAGTTTCTGTTTGAATGTAGTGTCGTCAACCAATTACAAAGCTGTCAGAAAAGCATTTTTAGTACGAAATCTTATACTTCTAATCTATACAATGCAACCCGATTGCATTTACAGAACGCGAGATACACTCACACGTACATACTTGAAGGGGGGCAATGATTTTTTTTGTCTGGGTTAGGTTGGAGCGGGCTGGAAAAGCCCGTTGTGATATCTGAGTTGTTTTTTCTTTTATTTGATTTCCATTATTTTTAAGTTTCAAAAAAATTTAAGCTTCGTAAATAATTAAAACAAAATAATAAAATTTTTGAACCTTTTTCTAGGAATTTCAAGAATTTGAGTATGCAATGCCCATTTAATTAAAAAAATTCATTTGAATATATATAAATATTAATGTATATGTAGTATGTTTGCCATTTTAATTCTTCAAAACCACACATGTGCCTTGGCCCGGCAGGTGTATGTGTGTGTGTGCGTTTAAAACAAAAGATTCAATTACTAGACAGAGATCACTAAAGGCAGTAAAAGCTTAAAGATAGCCAAAAAATAACACAAACCCCTACCAAATAAACAGGAACAAAAACTTTTTGGTTGACTTGCACCAATTCTCATACAAAAATACACACATACACAAGTATCAGTGTTTATGTTTCGCACAAGTCAGAAAAAAACACAAAAAAAAAAAATAACAAAACAGGCGACACATGCAAGTATGTTTTTATGTCGTTGCCCGTTCACTTTTATTTTCCTTTTTAAAGCTTTTTTACTTGACTTAAACTTTTTTTATGTGCTCGCATGTACTTATGTATGTATGTATGTATGTATGTATGTATTTACGTGTTTTATATTTTGTCATCCAACGCTTGCCTGGGCTTTTAAGCTGTCCGAGCCCCTTGTCTTTTTGGCAATTCTTTCCACTTCATTTTCATTCGCTTGCTTGCGTTTTTAACTTCCTTTCGGCGTTTATCTTCAGGGCAGTCTTTTAAGTTCTGGGAGCGATTTTTAAGGTACATTGTAGTTACTCGTACATTGTTATTGTGTTTCCTACAGCCTAGTGTTTTCAACATACACATTGAGGAACAAGCTGACAAAAAAGTTAAATCTGAGCTGACAGCAAATGGCAAAAGCGCAATGCAACAACACATGTGTATCTTTAAATATGCATGTACAGGGTAAGTAAAATATTTTTAGTTTAGGTCGAGAAAACATTTGCTAGAAACGACGTTTGAGTTGAGTCGTTTATCAAATAGAGTCCGCGCATGCGCGTAGCCAGAATGGAATTTAGAGAAGGGCTCGACACTTTCAATCTAGCATTTCAGGGTATTATTTTTCATATATATATTTATATGGAAAACTTGGAAGTTAGGGGCTTGAAATTTTAGATTCAACAGAAAGCATACGAAAGCTGGAAATTTTAAGGGACATATTATCCCAGTAGTACCGAAAGGGTTAAACCATTAAAACCAATTTAATATTTTTTTTTCAATGTCCATTTTTTCGATCCTCCCTGTATACTCGTACTCTTGTTCAACGCGGTCAGTTTGTTGTTGTTTATGGCTGACGTTGAAATTTTTAAACAAGTTAACATAAACTTATATCCTACGTAGAGTATTAAGTTGCAATGTTTTTTTTTATATTTCAGTTTTTTTTATGTTCAATGGCTCTTTCAGACTCACAACATTTAGTATGTAAGTTGTACAATGTACATATATGTATAAGTATTTGTTGGTATTTACGATTTTTGTAAAAAAAATTGCTAATTTTGGATGAGTTGACCAAAGCTTGTTGGTATGTACATATGTACATACCTAACTTGCACTATAAGCGAGAGGGACATAATCGCTTGCATATCGTTGTTGCCTGACACCTCATATGTAAAATAGGGACATCTGGACAGGGTAAAGATCACCTGGTCTCGCAGGGGGTATCCTATTCCCACCTTTGTTTAACCCATACCATCCCGAAACCTCCTCAGCCACCGAGTTTCCCTGACCTCGTACGCTGACTATAGTTCGATATTGGCGTCCGGAAATCAAATTGATGACGTGTGCTCGAAAGTAAATGGCTACCTCTTCAAACTCGCATTCGCTTCTTCACTGCACGGAGCCTTACAGTCTCCCCTACGAGATCGACAGTGATCCTCTTTACCACCTGGTTGAAAGAGGTCAAGCTTTAATTAGAAGTCTACATCGACCGCCATATGTAGATAGCTTGCTCTCCTTCTCCGCGCATACAACCGAAATAGTGAAAAAATTAGGTACAGCACCGCTAAAAGTTTATCAAATCGATCACCAGAAGCGCCGGAGACTAGTTGAATGCTAAGTATAATGCTACAGACTTACCAGAACGCCACACATTGGACAGCGACTGGATGCCTTCTGGTGTCGCTTGAACACCACCTGCACAGTGAGGAATCCATGCTCATAGTTAGGGAGCACAACGTAATGTTCAGCAAGCAGTTTACGGTTGGCTGATAACACAGGAAGCATTCAAACAGGCTTTAGCTTGAGGCAGAACCGAACCTGCTCCCAGGCAAGACAGAAAGCATTTTATCGAACGCAAGGACGCGATCCGAATGCGACCACAACAACTTTTGGCTTCGACGGCATACCGACAAGCCACTAACGGCATTCACAGAGAGTCTGCCACCGCTTTCAGCGACTGTCGTCTCATGAGTGCCGTTATTGGAGCCAAATAACCACGTATCGCAGACCAACAGCTCCAGCCGCATGAGACCCGCGCCACTATGGCCCTGTTAATCTGGATCCCATCGTCGACTGGATTCATACTTACTCAGACCTGACCTCTTCACTTGCCCACTTAGACTCATTCACTCCTCTTGGTCAAACGCCGTCAAAGCTGCACATTTCCTAGGTCTACCGTTGGTTGAGCTTGCAGACCACGATTGATGGGCTTACCGAACTAGGCAGGGCTTGGTGGTGCCGCAACAACAACAACAACAACATCTAAGTGATCAATTTCCTTAACTTAACCAAGCTTCACTGCTTCCAATGCCACTCTCTTCATGAAATCCTGCCCCAGTTCCGCATTCTAATTGCGTATTTGCCAAGGCGACTGACAAGTGCATATACCGAGGCTGTCGGAAATTGTAGCTGCAGGCGGCAGCTAATTCCTAAGATCACATAAACACCATGCAGTCAGAATAAGATCAGACAGGCAGGAAAATAGTCTAACGACGGCAGCAAGAAAATGCGGCAAATAGTGGGTTTACAGCGCAACTTAAAGTGGTTGATAGATGGACAAACAGCTAGTCAGCCATCCAGCCTGACCATCAGTCAGTCAACCAGGCAACTGGAAGTAAGTAAGCAGAGAGATTTGCTACAACAAGCTAAAAGCCATTGAGGTATGATCACGATCATGGCGGCCACTGTGATACGATACCAGTGCAACCCCTATTTTTTTTATATAGAAAAAAATTCACGAATATGCATTTATAAGTGTATCTATGTGTATCACACATCCTCACTTGCCACTTGTGCTGCTGTAATTTTAATGGCCACTCACTCAGCTTCCATCGACTGGCATGCTGACTGCCTGACTGACTAGCTAAATGACTGCCGTCCGAGGCGTTTGAGTAGCAAAGTGCAACATGCAGTGGCAACTGCACTCTGTCAGGTAGCAAAAAATGCACAGCTGTTGCACTAAAATATCACTGCAT